AAGTAATCCTCGCGAAAAATGAAAATTTCCATCCCACATCATTGAGATGCCTCAGGATTATCTTCATACCGAATTTTGACAGTTTTGCAAGTAGCGAATGCTTATGGAACTTTTTGTTTTATACATTCAGCCGGCAGTTTTATCTTCTCAATAAGCTCTTATTACTGCATTTTTTCGTTAGTCACCGAAAAAAGTAAGCAAAGTGAAAGTCTCTGATTAGCTATTTGACCTAGAGCTCTCCTATAATATGAGGAACTCGTATCAGAAAAGTGAGGTGAGTGGGGAACCCTACAAACAATGGCCATTGCCAGTCGGTAGTTGGGATCGCTGTTGGTGCGTAGCTGAGCAAATTAGTGACAATGTTAGGTCGAAAGCACAGTAAACCTTGCAGAGGCTAGGCACACTTACGCCCACCACGGCTGTCAATTGGAGCTATTGTTCATAAAGTCATACACCCAAAGAATATTAGTAGAAATGGTGTATATTGCGTTCCTCGCTGTCTCTCAGAGTATCATTTTATCTCAATATCTATTCTCAAATGTGCTGGTTGTGATATAAATTGCGTGAATCATGCATCTGGCTGAAAATTTGAAAAAGCCATTGAGAGATCGTAGATTTGATGAATATGCTGAAAAAGATTGTGCAGATTGAACTTGCATCATCAATTGAAGGAAGATTATTGGTGCATCACGCAGTGCAACTGCATTTGTAATCGCGAAAAAATCCCTTCTGTACAGAAAAAATGAGCTATAAAAAGAAGTTCAATCTTTCTGCAGCAGTAAATTTTCGCAAAAAATGACTGTATGTGATTAGCACGCTAAACTTTAGCTTATATTTGAGAGAGAGCGAGTTTTTGAAAAAAATTTGAACTTGTTAACAAAAGTGTTGAACTTGTTAACAATAATAACTAATAATAATAACTTGTTGGGGGTCAGCAGATGCAAAAAAATATATCGCGATAAAATAATTTGAAAATTGGTTTTAAATATTCTATCTACTGCTTGCAGGACCTCTGAAAATTTGGTAGAAACAAGGTTTATCGTTAGGTCTTCTTTTCAGATTACAACTTACCTTGGTAAAAGAGATTTCATCGATCGCGGTGATTATGTTGATTTGATAGGTTGGTTTTGCTCTCTTTTTTGTATATCTTAGAAAACCTTTTTTTCTTTTGGGGTTT